GTACAGCAGTTAAGTGGGAGAACTTGCACAATTGATGGCTGACTAAATACTTTTTTGCCCCACTGTATAAGAAGAGGAAGGAAAGCAGAAGAAAGAAACTTTCACGCTACATGTACATGTTTGTGAAAGAGAGATCAAAATGAGGAAAGGTCTACTTCACTGTGCCTACCTCTCTTCCTCTGTGTCTCTCTTTTTCCCTGAAAGGGTTAGAGGAATATATTAAATATAACTGGCCACTATTCCTGAATAATGAATGTAACATAAGCATATGCAAGCTTTGTAAAGGTCTACATCTGCTTCAGAAGATGTACTTTACCCTCTGTCTCATACCTACTTTTCAAAACGCCATTCCAGCATAAATATACATATACATATACATATATAGGTACCTCATATACCAGCATAGTTAGTATAACACATGACAGCTATATGGCTTCAACAAAGATTTCATTTCCCATTATTCATAATGTATGGTTGTTTAAAAGGTTTAAATTAATTTTTATATTTTTCAATCATCATGAAATGTGGATTGCCAGTTGTGGATTAGTTTCTTCAATCAACAAATTGGTTCAAGATTTACAGATTTTTTTCTGTTTCAGGTGTCATCTGGGCTTGAAAGAGGTGTCTTTACTTATCAAGGTGATATACATGGAAAAGATTTTGGAAAATTTATGTTCCAAAGAGAAAGTAAGAATGCCTTTATAGGACTCCATCATGTATTGTATGTCACTCCCATTAAATTACGTGACTTCATTCACTGAGCCAGCAATTAGAATAAATAATTATATTTGTTTTGTTGAATTCTTGTCAGCAAATCTATAATTCACCTATATTAGGTAAAATGTGACATTAAATATCTAATTCAACTTTTTGATGCTGCCATTTCATTTCTGATGCCAGTGCAACCGAACTGCAGATTGCTTATGTAAAATCTCTCAGTATAAATATTTATGAGGCACAGATAATGTATGATGATGATTTTATCATATTGCTTCAGCAGTGCAGTCCTATACATGTTTATTGAAAAGTAAGCCCCAGTTATGTTCACTGGGACTGACCGTCATTGATTGCAACCTAAAATACTTTTACAAATTATTAAAGATTCTGTTTGATGATGGAGAACATTCTGTGTCATTTAAACCACTTAGGTTCTTTTGAATTTTGCATGTCTTTGAAATGAAAAGAAATAAGATTCGGTTTCAGATCTACCAGGGGTTTGGTATATCTCTTACATTTCTTATAGGACATACCTGACTGTTTTGCATCCTATTCTTCTGATCCTTAGGATAATGAAAATAGTGTTCCTGTAGGGGACAGAATTGAAAGGACTGTCCCCTGTTAGACAACAATTAGGTGAAGAAACTCTTTGATCTCAGATCTCCCTCTATCACTTTTGTGTGTTTGTGTGTGAGATATAT